AACCAGATTATCAGCTGTTTTTTCTTGGCTATAATGCGATAATAAAAGATTTATTAAAATGTATTTTTTAAAAGGTCAGAAGTCAGCTTGACTAAAAGATGATATTCAAGTACACACACAAACACATTACATACATATATATTAACATATTATATATAGTGTGTGTATATATATGTGTGTGTGTGTGTATATATATACATTTTATACATATTAAGGACTTTTTGCTTTTTCTCTTTGGATCTTGCTTTGGAGATTATTATTTTCCTGTGGATGGAAATCCTTGTTTTTTATCTGCTTGTTCCCCCTGTTCACTTCCTTTCTTAAAAATTGTTCTATTATTTACTTCTATTCTTCCTGACTCCTTTTTCCTCTTTGCCATCTCAGGTACCACATAAAAGGATCTGGGAGAGACATCTAATGACTCAGACTGTTTAAGAAACACAGAAAAAGGTGCCACTGACCCCTTTTTTGGGTCATCTGTCCTCCTGTAAAGTCTAGAGCATCACGGACAGATTTGTCTGAGGTCTCATACTCTACCGTCTTTTGTACTGTGTTACCTGATCTCATTGGTTTTCAGGAGTACCAGAGATTACTTTGTACTGAGAGAGAACTTGATCTTAGTGAATGTGATGACTGGAGGGTCACTGGTACAGCTGCAGTTTTGGAGGTGGATGAGGGCTACTGTTTACAATAAATGGTTATTGCTACAGGACACTACTCATTTCCTTGGAAGTGTAGATGAGACAGGTGAGGTTTAAACCTTGGAGAAATGTCTTTGTAGCACAGTGCACCGTAGAAGCATTGCTTGGCCTAGTCCTGTGGTGTTTTCCATTTTTTGTGAGTGAGGAATCCAGGATTCAATGCAAAATTAGAATGCTTGATTTTAAAAAATCTAAATGCTCTGCCTTCCAACAGCTTGCTTTTCACATATTTAAATTATTCAGCTTTAAAAACTGCAAATGCTTTATTGACCCTGTTCCTTAATGGACTCCACCTTGAGCCCATTTGGAAAACAGACACTAAATTAAAAGCTACCTATCTAAATGAAATTGGCCTCCTTATGAAATTCTAGAGTAAAGTCCTATGATTTTGTGTTGCCTTGAATATTCATTTTTAACCTTCCTCTAACATACCCAAATTCCTTCTTTAAAAATATTAAATTTCCTATCTTTGATTTGCGATGCAAATTTGCTACCCTGTTTCTCTAAAATTCAGTAAGAGCTTCAGCCACATGAAACAGATAAACGTTAACCTTTCCCATAAAGAAAGGCACAGTTTGAACACAACTGTCCTTTTAAACTAGAGAGTTTTATCTGACTCATGGCTAAAGTTTTAAAACTAAAGCTATAAGATCTTTATGACTGCCTGTATTTTTGTGTATACATGTGTCCACATCGTTTTATGTGTTGTCTGTAACACCAAACTGGCTTGTAAATAAGCGTACCCACAAATTAAATAACTAAACCAAATGCTTTTCAAATTCACATGATTTTAGTAATCTTTGTTAAATAAAGATAGTTTAAAAATTGTTGGTAAAATAAAATAGGAAGAGCTTCATAATTTGGACATTTTTGTCTGTGTCTGCTGGTCAGACAGGTTTATACTATCTCTGCTAGATATTTTAAGGTCATAAAACTGTAGCTTGTATGATATTTTCAAATATTTGCTTAATTTGTCTGTGAGCTTATGCCTTTGGATTTGAGCATGTAGATCTGGGATCTGGACAGATGGCCACAGTGAGGCCTGGGGACAAGTCCTCAGAGCCTAGACCACCAACTAAAAAGCAGAATCAAGCTTAGCATGGCCTCTTTCTCCCTGACCCAGCTTTTCCTCCTGGCCATGCTGGGAGGGGTCTGATCCTCCAATCATACTCTTTACAGCTCTCTCCTCTGTTCTGAGCTCTGTACTTGGCATAGAAATTCAGGACCCAGTTGGGCCATGCTCTTCATTGCCATCTTTGGGTGCCATGTAAATATTAGGGACCTAGGGCAACTGGGGAAGACATTATAGAGGGTACCTGTTTTATAGTTACAGAATTCTTTTCAGTAATTTAAAAGTCTTAAGATTTTGTTATGTTACATTAAGTAATAGCTAATCAAAAAATGTCTGAGTCATTTCTAAGTTAAAATACTGAAACACTAATTGTTAAACATAAATTTACATTTATGTACTTCAACATCATATTTTATATGGCATAGTAAAACTATCTAAATATATTTTTAGATCTGCTAGTCAACAGACATTGACAAAACCTCTTTCTAAGGAATAATAAAATGGTTTTCATCAAAAAATAATAGTATAAAATAGTTCAAAATTACTTAATTCCTAGGTTTTTCATTGAAAATTGGTTACTAGGTTAAAACTGATATGGTTTGGCTGTGTCCCAACCCAAATCTGGAATTCTAGCTCCCACAATCCCCACATGTTGTGGGAGAGACTTTAGTTATAATCCTTACATGGATTATATTTCCACTATCTCTTGTTGTTTTCCTTCTTCTGAGGAAACCAAATTGATGATACAAGATATGAACAGATACTTCTCAAAAGAAGACATTTATGCAGCCAACAGAAACACGAAAAAATGCTCATCATCACTCGCCATCAGAGAAATGCAAATCAAAACCACAATGAGATACCATCTCACACCAGTTAGAATGGCAATCATTAAAAAGTCAGGAAGCAACAGGTGCTGGAGAGGATGTGTAGAAATAGGAACACTCTTACACTGTTGGTGGGACAATAAATTAGTTCAACCATTGTGGAAGACAGTGTGGCAATTCCTCAAGGATCTAGAACTAGAAATACTATTTGACCCAGCCATTCCATTACTGGGCATATACCCAAAGGATTATAAATCATGCTGCTGTAAAGACACATGCACACGAATGTTTATTGAGGCACTTTTCACAATAGCAAAGACTTGGAACCAACCCAAATGTCCATCAATGATAGACTGGATTAAGAAAATGTGGCACATATATACCATGGAATACTATGCAGCCATAAAAAAGGATGAGTTCATGTCCTTTGTAGGGACATGGATGAAGCTAGAAACCATTCTGAGCAAACTATCACAAGGACAGAAAACCAAAAACCGCATGTTCTCACTCATAGGTGGGAACTGAACAATGAGAACACTTGGACACAGGGTGCAGAACACCACACACCAGGGCCTGTCATGGGGTGGGGGTAAGGGGGATAGCATTAGGAGATATAGCTAATGTAAATGATGAGTTAATGGGTGCAGCACACCAACATGGCACATGTATACATATGTAACAAACCTGCACGTTGTGCACATGTACCCTAGAACTTAAAGTATAATAAAAATAAATAAATAAATAAATAAATAAATAAATAATGAATCTGTCGGCCAAAGCACATGAATATTTTAAAATAGATGTTGCCAGATCACATTATTCAAAACTTTACTAATTTAAATCTTAATAATATAGACTTTCATTCTGAAATAATAAAACATTGCCTTTTTGACGTCAAAAAAAAAATTGACGATACTCTGAAGTCTAGGTACGATTCAACAAGCAACAGCAGCCATAAATCGATGACTTTGACATAACTACTTGGGAATGAGCCTTCTTGATGATGGATACCTTGATACTTAAATTTTGATCATCAATGCTGTCAAGAAGATAGATTTTTGATCAAACGGGGGAAATAAGAAAAGAAAATAACTTTTATCTGAGGAATGCAAGTTACTTTAATTAACCGGCCCAGAGAGACATTAAAATGAAACAGCAATTACATCCTTCTAGTCCCTCTGTGCTGTGCATTAATCTCTTGAAACTGCTTGCTATCACCATAAGTAGCTGTAACTTAACATAATGATGCCACACTGGACTCTATAACCCACACCCTAGAGCTTAACAATGGATAGCCAACCACTTGTCAATGTTATTTCTGTAAATCGATGAGAATGCCTGACAAACAACTTTGTATCAGCTCACTCCCTGTCTCCCATTTTTTCCTTTAAAAATCTACTTGTAATTGCTGCTAACTGGAGTGAATATTCACGGCAATTTGAATCCATGCTCCTGGCTTGCAATTCTCAAGCTTGGCCCAAATAAACTCCCTACTTATATTAATTTTGCTTCAGGTTCTTCCTTTTAAGCTGAGAGGACAAAAAATTTAAAATGTCAAAATAGTATTTTTGATTTATTAAGGCTCAAGATAGAACAAAAATATTTTTCTTTTAAAAATAAAAACCTTAATTCGTTAAGTTTTTAAAAGTGATCTGTCAACAGGGTAATTCATAAGATAAAAAGGAGATAGGTGTATATATATCTATATGTAGATAATATACAACTAATATACATACATATACATATAATACATACAAATATATATACAAAAAGATAATATACAACTAATCATTTGTTGACAAATAAAGCTTTTGAATTATAATACATTTCCCTTTCACTTACTGTGGTCAATTTTACCTGTCATTTATCATTGTACCAGTAACACTATTTTTGGGGGAGAAAAAGACAGTAAAATGCAAGCATTAAGGGATACATTTGAAAGTAAATATTCTTCCAGTACCAAGCACATGATCAATCATGTCTTCCATGCTGAGCACATATTCTTCTCTCCGTGTGGGGGTGCCAGCTGTTTAATGGTACATAGAGAAACCTATTTTACCTTTAATCCAATAAATCTCATAGGGCACACCACTATAACGTATCTCAGTGATTTTCTTTCTTGGAAATGGTCTACCATATATTTAACCCCTTCTCTTTATCTCTTTAGAAATTTTAATATTTGCATAAAAATTTTCAACACACTTTTACTTAGTTATTTTTACTTGGAAAAAGTATAGCAAATTATTAGAATATTTAAAATGTTAAACCCTAAATATGAGGACTTTATATCAAAAGAAATGTCATTAATAATCTAATATGATAAATAACATCAAAAATCTTATTAACACATTTCTATTAAAATAGAGACACTTATTATTTTTCAATTGGACTGTTACATACCTGAGCTTCTGGTTGTACTGTTTGACCTTTTCCAGTGAGGCTGCATTTATCTGAGCTTGAAATTCTTCCACGGAAACATTGTCTCTGTAATAATATCCTTCCATGCTCTCCAGTGCTGTGTAAACAAGTAAACATATTTTACAAGCAATTTTAAACTCAATTTCTCCACATGTAGTATAATTTTATTGATTATTAGTAAATTTAGCAAATAGGACCAATTATCAACACATATGCAAAAAAATTATATTAGCTCCAAAAATGAATGAAAACTGTTCTGCTCTCAAAATAAATATCAAACATTTCATGATTTTTCTGTCCAATGGGCAAAGAAAATTTCTGGTTTAACTGTCCTCTATTTTTAAAAAATTTTGTATATGTTGTAGGAGACCAAAATATGCCACTCCAAAATATAACTGTAGGAGACCAGAATACACCGCCCCAAAATATGTCTCATTGGCATAAGGATTATTTTGATCTGGTTATTTTGAGAAACTGCATGCAGATACAGGAGAAACTCTGAAAACAGAGTAGAAGTTTCCCTTTGATAAGGAAAATTTACATCCATAAAGGAAACCTCTACTTGTAAGAGTGTCTCCCTCTCTGTACTAGGAAGAGAAGGAAGACGATCACAGAGAGCTTTATCTGCACAACACATCTTACCCTTTTTTTAATGGTGCTTTCCTGGTCACCTCCCCATAACTAGGCCTTCCCTAGACCCTTCTGTTTCAGTAGAAAATGGTTATATTTAAGTCTAAGTTCAAAGCTACCTCTTTCAGATATAGTCACTTTTCCTTAGGTATCTTGCATATAGACATGAGGTATACATGTTATTAAACTTCTGTTTGCTTTTCTCTTGTTAACTTGTCTTTTGCTATGGGGACCACCCCAACTAAGAAAAATGAAAGGTAGAGAGAAAATTATTTTTCCTCTTCTACAACGTTCTTTGTGAAGCTAAACTTACACTTCCGATGTATTTGATATTTATACACACATGTCTATTACATATGACACATATATGTTCATATTCGGAACATATGTATGAAAGGCAGAAGTGTGCATTAATGTATGTCAGAGGCCTGGCACGGTGGCTTATGTCTGTAATTCCAGCACTTTGAGAGCCAAGGCAGGTGGATCATTTGAGATCAGAAGTTCAAAACTAGCTTAGGCAACATAGCGAGATCCTGTCTCTAAAAAAATAAAATTTAAAAATTAGCCTGGCATGGTGGCATGCACCTGTAGTCCTAGATACTCGGGAGGCTGAGGTGGGAAGATAACTTGAGCCCAGGACTTCGAAGCTGCAGTAAGCTAGGATCGTGCCACTGGACTCCAGTCTGGAGGACAGAGTAAGACTCTGTCTCTTAAAACAATCGTAACAACAACAAAAACATGTCAGAGTAAAAAAAAGGAAATTTTCACTCCCCATGCATATTCACGTTCTTGTATAACCTTAATAAAGAAATGTTAATATATTAAATAAAAAGTATAAATTGAAATCTTAGAAAATCACCTCTACTCAAACTGTCATTTAATTTAGTTATAATATCCCACTAATTTTAAATGTATTTTGAATAGCATACACATTTCCTTTTTAATAACATTTTTGATTCAGTATTTCTTTTTCCTTTAACCTTTATGAAGTATCATTTAAAAAATTTTGGAGAGGAAATAAATCGCAGGAAAAGGGCCCAGAAATACAAGATTTCCTGTGGAAAGGTTGCCAGTAACAGGAATGGCTGTGGGTCCAAGTTGGAAATGTAAATTATTTTCTCTTGAAATGCATCACTACTTATGAGCCTCAATTTTTAATAAACGATTTAAAATTCAAAACAATCTTCTTTCAAGACTGCTAAATGCACTAGTTTCTAAACTAAATCATGAGGTTTCTTTAAAGTGAAAGAAACTATCACCATTTTCGGGGGGGGAAATAGGAAACTGACTGCTAATTTTAGTTGTGCTATAGTTTTATTAAACTAGTCAGAATTCTAGAACACTGAAGAAAATAATAAAATTTTAAAGATCCATGTCAAATTTGCAGATTGTTTTTAAATGGAAATTTTAAAAATTGGTTTACAGTTGACAAAAGCAATTGTGGAAGATAAGGGAGAAAATATACTACATTTACTTCAGTACAGAAAATGAAATTTGTGTGCTTATTTCACAGATTTTTAATTTGTTTATTTCTTATGGCTTCTGGGAAGGAACCCAGGAAACTTTACCCTTAAAATATGACACCCTGGTATACTGATTACTTTAAATTAAAGGCTTCTGCAAGTCAGCAGATACTGGATGAGGCTTTTCTCTGATATGCCCTATCTACCTTAAGTCTAGATCTGCAAAAGAGAACACAATTGCTTTCCCTACCCTCCCTGGAAATCTCATTATCTATGCTAGAAAAGAAGACTGTGGAAGGTAACCCACCTAGAAGGATTCTTCCCATAAGATAATATCTATTTCTCCAGCTCATTCAAATTCCAAGACAATCATTTACAAGTTAATTTCTGTCTCCCGGGCCCATTCATTCTCCCTAATAAACATTTTACTACCTCCTACATTCTCCATCTCCCCTATCGCCTATGAAGAAGGGTATACAAGTATCTGGACCTCACTGAGTTATTGGGTAATCACTCTCCCATGATTTTTGCCCTGTGCACATTAAATAAATTTTGTATGCTTTGTTTCCTTATTAGTCTGCTTATTGCAACTTCATTTTCAGCAACCTTTCAAAGGGAAAAGGACAGACTTTCTCTCTTAGAGCCGACATTTTCATTAATTACAATAGTTGTAACTGGTTCAACAAACTTCTGGTCCTGAATACATACAGAAAATAAAAGAAACTGTCCCTGATAAAATAATCCTTAAATACATGCCATGTTCACAAGCTGCTATTTGTGAAGGGATTCAGTCTACCAATAGTCATACTTCAAGATAAATTACTCTTACCAGTTGGAAAGCTGATGCATTAGAGTAAAATTCCAGTTTCTGCTGTATGACTTTGGTCAAGTTAATTAATATCTGAAATTCTGAGGTTCTGCATTTTCGACTTGCAAAATAAAAGTACCTACCAGTTATGGTTAATGAGAAAGAATTTAATTAAATAATAGTATTAAGACAGCTCATGAGTATTCTTACTTATTGAATGAGTTTTATTTACTAGGCAACATGCCAAATGCTGTACGGGTACTACCTAATTCAATTCCAATGAGATACTGATTATGCAGAGTGTGCTTAGCCAAACACAAAGTTTGTGGGACTAAGAGAAGGGTCCATGCAAAACCACTTTGATTTGTGACTTAAAACCAGAAAAACTGGAAGGAGAACAGTGGGATGGCACAGCAGCGGAACTGTGAGGGTAAGGGAGGAGACCACCCCTCATATTGTCTTATGCCCAATTTCTGCCTCCAAAGAAAGAAGAAGTAAAAACTAAAAGGCAGAAATGAAATCCACAGGCAGACAGTCCAGCGCCATACCCTGGGCCTGGTAGTTAAAGATCAACCCCTGACCTAATTGGTTCTGTTATCTATAGATTACAGACATTGTATAGAAATGCACTGTGAAAATCCCTCTTGTTTCGTTCCGATCTAATTACGGGTGCATGCAGCCCCCAGTCACATACCCCCTGCTTGCTCAATCACGACCCTCTCACACACACCCCCTTACAGTTGTGAGCCCTTAAAAGGGACAGGAATTGCTCTGTCTCAAGAGCTCAGCTCAGCTCTTGAGACAGAAGTCTTGCTGATGCTCCTGGCCGAATAAACCTCTTCCTTCTTTAACTCGGCGTCTGAGGAGTTTTGTCAGCCGCTCGTCCTGCTACAAGGGGAGAGGGCTGGGAACTAATTTTTATAAAGATCTTGATGGTTCAACTTTGGCCAGAATGGCCAGTTCTGTCCCAAATTTTATATAAGAACAAGTATATAAACATAATTTAATATAATTTTAATGAATAGTTCTACAATTTCATAAATTTCCATCTTCATTACATTTTTGACAATATTATTCCAAATTAACAAGTCAGTTAAAATTCACAACCACATAAAATTTTTTGAAAACTGGAAAAGTGCCTAACAATTTTGCCAAGAGTCTTAGTAAGAATTCTGTGTCACATGTATAGAGTTGTGGGGAATGAACAAAAAAAGATGAGTTTTATATTTAAAAACTAAAATTTGTATGACAGAGAAGAGGAAAGATGACAACATTCCCTATTTTAGCTAAATAACTTGTTTATTTATTGTTATGAAAAACCCAGAACAACATTCTACCAAATTAAATAACATGTTAATTTCAAACATGTTAAATTTGGCATTTCCTTGTCTAGTTTCCTTAGTTCTCATCCATAAAATGATATATTTCTCAAAAGCAGTATCAATGTACTTGGTTGAATATTTAGTTTATTTACTTCTACTACTTTTCAAGCAAAGGAAGAAAAACATTCCATTAAATTTAGGTAGTCAGCAAAAAAGGAAAACCTAATGAATGTTAGAGAAAATGAAAGATTAAATTATTCTTAGACTGAAGCAAGCTACATTTCCACTTACTCAAAATACCTTTCAAGGCTTTCCCAAGAAAGGGATTAATCGGGAAAAACACAGAATCTCTGAAGAATAATTTTAAGAATAGTGTCAGTCTGCTAACACTCTCTTTTGATAGCACACTTTTTTGGTTAAATAAGACATGGCACATGCACTGCTAGAATTCCCCAGAAATGGTCACCATGGGTCACAATTCCTCAGAATTGGTCCCAGTTATTGGGAGAGAAGCAAGATTTGTTGATCCCATTATGACAAATATGTGAGAATGGCCGTGTGATATATAATAATGTTTTGTGATTCTAAATGTCTCAAAATGGAGTCATTTATAACAAGTCACTCAACCCACAGTGAAACTGCTGACTCTTCAAAGTGATAAGCACATGTATGGTGGACTGAGGTGATAAGATGACACCTGCCATGGCCAGGCACCTCAGAGACCCCACAGGAAAGTGAAGCCAAAGGCGGCTGAGATAATGACTATGAACACACTCCTGTGGAGAGCCATAAAAACAGCAAGAAACTGACAATGGTTGAGATGCCTGCAGAAGCTTTGCCAGGAGAACTCTGAGGCCTCCTCGCCCTAGAAGCT